GGCCTGGAGCAAGACAAGAGGCAAGCACACAAACGCCGTTTGCACCAGGGTTTATTCTGCCGGTGGTAAGCCGCTGCCTGTGTCACGCAGCCTCCTGCTAACAAACTGAAGAGGGTGGGCTGGCTTGGGACCTGAAGGGGAATTGTCCTCAGCACCCACTTCCCATCTCTCCAGGGCTCTCTAGGGAGTTGGTGCTGATTTGAACAGTAGCGATCAGGGGAGCAGGGTATATCTAAGCATAAATACACCTCAGTGCCCATATTACCATTTCCCTCAGCTACAGAAGCCTCTGTAGTGGTGCTGGTCCTTGAAGCCACTTTTAAACCACTCTGAATTACTTTGGCCACAACGAGCAGAAGTTACAGCTGGAATTCAGGGTACTTTGGAGGTCCAAACCACAGGCCTTTTCATTTCCACGTACCTTTGCAAGGCAGGAGGACATGTAGCAGAAGAGCTCTGCTGCCCTCAGAGGCTCTTTTTCCATAGGGGTGATCCCCTCTGGGTGTCACAGCCAGGGTCCGTGGTGGGACACAGGGGAATTCAGCCCAGGAGCAGCAGCGTTAAGCAGCACAGCATCAGCTGGCTCATATATAAACATATGTGCTGCATGCCAGGTTTTTTCAGTAGTTGGAGCATATCCACCTTCCACTAAACTGGAAACAGATCTCACATGTAGACTGGCATTCCCAGTGTCTGTGTATCTGAGTAACTGGTGTGGTGACACGACAGGTCAAATTCGAAGGCACAGTCCACGTCACACAGGACCAGGGCTGTCCTGAGGGCAGGGGACGGGCGCTTCTCCGAGAGGAGCAGTAAATAAAGGCAAGAAAGCTGCTGCTGCCAAGGAGAGAGGTACCCGTGGTCAGGACATGAGGAGATGAAGCAGAGGGTGTGGAGGGCTGTGCACGTTCAAAGGTCTCGCTACCTCTGTTTGGCACAGTTGGGCAACTGACAGCTATGTTCATTTTTATGAAATGCTTCCTTGTCCTGATGAAATCCAGCTACAGACGTGCATTTTGAAAAAGAGAGCAGCATTGAAACATGCTTCAAGAAACATGCTGTACTTCGTAGGCTTTTTTCCCCTCTATTTTTCCTTTTTTTTTTTTTCTTAGAAATTACTAAAGCTTGCCTTCAGGGAATGGTTTCTAAGAACAAGAAGCATTTAGTAACTTTCAGAGTAGTTTTGCTTGCTCTCTCTCTAAACTTACCTAAACCCCACCATTCTATATTAAACTGTTGCAGAATAGAAGTATTTACATCAATAATTTATTGCTACAACTTCCTTCTACTAGTTAAGTCAGAGGAAAGACAGTGCAGGTTTGCTGAAAACATCTGCCATAGAAAAAGCCAACCAGGAAAGCATCGGTGGAAGCAGAGGCCATCACAAATGAAGCTCTTGGAAGTGTCTGAATAATTACAGATGCTCTCTGCGACTTTGATCCATGCTCCTAGTCAAACATGACAAGATTTCTCTGATTTATTTACTGCGGGCTGCGCTGGCATCATGCCATCCTTTGGGCTGGCAACCAGCTCCACAATGCAATTTTAGGGCCAGTATTTTCTGGACCTGCACGGCTCCTGCAGGTGCTGTGCTATAGGGGATCCAGGCTGGCTCAAGGAGCTGGAAAGCAACATGGATGGCTGTCGCCTGCGGGATCTCCCATAACATTCATCTCTATTGTCCAGGACTGGATGGGTCTGAGATGATTCCAGATTATCATTCCAAAGGATGAAATGAAAGGCATCTCTATGGAGCTTCCCAGCGTTGCCCTCTGTGCAACGCTTTGCCGTTTCTGATGTTCCAGGGCCTGGCTGTTTGCACCTAAATTCTCTCATCTCCAAAGGGACAACCGTCAGGCATTAAGAGAGCTAAGTTACAACATGCAATTCTTAAAAGCTAGGAACAACAGCTGTCACAGAGGACAAAGTATATTATGAAATAACTCAAAGGAGACAGTTCTATTTTTAGTTTCATTTGAAATCTGCGTATGGTAAGTAACAAGAGTTAGTCAGGCTGCAACAACTGCCATTATATTTAACGACTGTTGGCTAGGTCTTTTATTAAAATAATTTGTATTTGGCCGTAAGTGTTCGCGTCTGCCAACACGCAAGTCGGGTTCTGCAAACCTCCGTTCATGAGAATGCCACCATCAACTCACGTTGCTTGACTCAGGAAGGCAGCTGCTGTCACCTATCAGCAGCCAGATAAAACAGCTGCTTTGCTTCAAAGCACATAAAGGGGAAACCCCGTTTGCAACCCTTTTTAATTACGGTAATTGTAACAAAAGTTGCTGACATCTGCAAAGGTACACATGAGCAGGCTAGTGATGCGCTGTGACTTTCCTTACGCCACTGTGATGCCCAAAGCCCCTCATTTCCAGCTGCAGAATCCCTTGGGGTAACAGCCCCGTTTGCCACCCCGTTGCGCTTCTCGGGCACGTCCCTGCAACGCACGTGGTGAAAAAAACGACACCTCGATCGACCGCGACGCTCCTCCCGGGTCACTGCAGGGGAAGCGACCGCAGGGCCGTACCGGGGCAGGACAGCTGCAGATTCCGGGCTGCCCTCCAAGGGCCGTGGCCCATGTCCACGCCACCGTCGCACAAACTGAAAATTTTGCCTTTCCGTAAAGAACTGCCACTTCATTCCACCGCATCCCTCTAGTCA